TGAGAATTTAGCTTTGTGATATAAATGTATTTGAACATATGTTTCAGTAATACAGTTTATCAATTTTATCCTGTCGTTGTCAAAGATATCTTAGTTTTTCATATGTTCGAACATAGAATCGTGCGTAAAACTATGATTAATCACAGCGTTATAAACTTTTAGCATCAAGAAATCTTTGATATTTGTTTTTACAAAAATAAGATGATTATTTTTCTTTATAATTTTTTCACTCAACCTATTTTTTTATTTAATTCTATTAAAAAATACCGTTAGTTTGTTTTATTTCCTTGCACTGACTGCTACTTTACAGGTTATTTTCAGAAACTAAAACAAATCTTGTATATCACTTGGCACTTGCGCAAGCACATGAAAGAAAGAAAAACAGTACATGAGCAGAACAGAAGTATATCTTCTGTCTCTCAGATCTTGCTCACAGCTCGTCGCTGCTATTCTCACTCCATATCTATAAGCTCTATGAGCGCCAATAAAACGCCTTTTCTCGTATACAGGATTACTTATGAGACCTCACAAAAGAAAAATTGGAGATTCTCTCTTTGAAAAACTTGTTCTTTTGAAAGCATCACGTTTTACTTCTAAAGAGCAAACTGTCATTTCAAAAGAATAACTACATGTCTGAAAACGATGAATTTTTAAATATAAGAAATAGTACTAAGAAATATGTATAAATAATAAGAATAAAAAATTTTAATATAAATAAATATAAAATATAAATATTAAAAAATCCATTTTTCTTTAAAAAAGCATTTTAAAAATGCCTATTTTCCATTTCCTATTTTAAATGGGTATCTAAAACCATTTTGCATTTTGCATTTTCAAATGGAAAAGTTTTACTTATTTTGCATTTTCTATTTCAAATGGCTTTGGATACCTATTTTGCACATCTCTGGGCAACACACAGTACACTAGCTTCTTTCCGTTTCTTAACTACAACGCTACTGCGTACACGCTACCTTTCTTAGTACGTAGTTCCTGCATATCTCGCTACACGGCAGCACAACACAAAATGCAAATGTAGGTACATACTCAACATTCGTAAATAAAAACATGAATAAATATTAAGTAAATTTATAGATAAATGTAATTATATGTGGCTGTGATACGGTATGACTCAACCAAAGTTCAGGAGTGACACTGCACATAATAAAAGACTACTATACATATAAAGAACATGTATGTAAAGTTTGGACTGCGGTATATTGAAGATACTGGAGATATAAGACGCAAATCATGAAAACCTTTTTTTTTTAAACATGTTTTTCTCTTTGTATCTCCAATATGCCGCAGTAGAACGAATACTGAGAGTTTTTCACGATTATCTCCGCAATTAATCGCATTATGAAAAATATTCAAACAAAAAATATAGGAAATTAAATTTTCCACAAATAAGGTTATTACCTTTATTCATGTAACTTTAACCATTTTTATGGTAAAACGCTGAGAACGAGGTAAAGCTGCACATTAAGCTACTCTCTCTTCTTTGAGAGGGCGAAGCCTTCTTTCGGAGGAGCGATCTTTGGTTTTTGTGGAACTTGGTATTGTTACGTCCTAGGCCTACGGTAACGGTCGGGACCTTGAAGAGTGACGCAACTGACACATGACACTTTGTGTGTCAACTCCCGGCACAGTGACTCAGAGAGATACAAGAGTCAAGTGCGCGGGTCGAGCGAGATTTCGGCGTCGTGAACAAGCCAACGAGTGTTTCTCGCTATAGCTTGTTCAACAGCTTTTCGCTCGTCGGTTCCTTTTTCGAGTCTTAGATGCGAATCTAAATTACTCGGGATGAAACCAGACGATCGATTGAGAGATGAATGGGAGCGATTAAGCGAGGTCTATGATTAAATTAACTCAAGCCACCTTTATTAATAGAAATGTTTATAACTTGTTTATTTACTTATCATACCTTTACTTACAATTTACTTGTTTGTTATTCGTGATATTGCGCGGTTGTTACATTATAACTTATGTGTAAGCACGTGTGTGTGTGTATGTGTGTGACTCAGTCAATGGTAATCTCTATATATTCTCTCACTATGGAAGATGAAGGAGGATAAAATCTATAGAAATAGGAAACCGGGACCTCGCGGATTTCGGGAATTCCTGGGAATTTTACTAATATTTTATAATCGTGAAGGAGGATAGATATTGCATGACGGAGGGAGTTCGGGAATTTTTTACGCAGGTCGAGAATTCTATCGGTTGAAGAAGAAGGGGGATCGGCAACCGGGAAGGAATCTGCTAATGTGACATAATGTGCAAGGTCAGGAGGCAGAGAGTCGTCATCATCATCGGAGAGGAGTTCGTGGTCAGAAGAAGCTGGTGTAGAAGGGGAAGAAGAGTTCTGTCGAGAAGGGGTGGAGGATTCGTGTATGTCAGAAGTTTCATCAGGAGGAACGAGGGAATATGATGGAGACTCTAAGAGTGAGGGAGAAGGGGAGCGAGGGGAAGACTGAGTCCGGGGTGTGGAGGTGTGTGTGTCATTATTAATTGTTATTGTGTCAGGACTGCTACTTCTAGTAGTATTATTTGTATTGCTGACAGAAGGGGGAAGGTCGGTTCGCTCAGGCTGGTTAGCAGCGGTTCTGCGGCGTAGCACCCGATTACGACGGTTCCGTCGTGCTAATACCGCGCTCCGCGACTTGTGGGTTTTCCGGGGTTCAGCTTAAAAAATGTCATTCGTTTAGTATGTTCTCTTGACGGGTCAAGACCAGCGATTAATTTCCGGAAACTAAAGTGAGCTAAATCTTCTCGCTTAATGTCACCAAAAGGAACTCGGCAGTTGTTCGTGACGACACAAGGTCGTGAACAGCTAATCCGATTGAAAGGA